GGGAACGTCTAGCACTAATTGCATGGTGGTAGATGTAGAGAGAAACCTGATGGATGGAGAGCAGATTCCTGGGAGTCAGCCCAAGTAGCAGAATTAAAAGCCTGACAGCAGCACAGAAATTAGCACAGTGGTCAGAGTCAACATATATACGCAGACAGTAAGTATGCTTTTGGAGAGGTGCATGACTATATGATGGCCTGGGCTTGGCAAGGGTATGTCACCTCATCCAGGGGCCACATACAACACAAATAGCAGGTTAAAGCTTTGGTGGAGCAGCAGTAATTAAGATCAAAGGTTACAGGAAGGTAGAAACCCTGCCACAATGGGGAAGGAGTACACAGATAAGGGAGTTAAAGCACTTACCAAAACTGCACAGACATTTGAGGAAGTGCCTCGATTATAGAAGCGAAAGAGGAAAATTTAAAGACACTGCAAGAAACAGCCCCACAAGAAGAGAAGCAGGAATGGGAAAAGAGAGGGGCAATGACAGGACAAGATGGAATATGGATGATGCAGGATCAGGCAGTGGCATAACACTGTATAAGACAAATGTTACTAAAAACATATTTTTATGTTTTATGTCTGGCCCACACTGGGTAGGGCAAAATGCAATATCATTGCCGGTGGTGGCCCAGAATAGGGAAAGATATAGCAAAATTCTGTCAAACATTTGTAGTTTACGTACATACAATACAAGCCAGGGAAAGTAATCAAGATACAACTGAGCCAACAACCGGGACCTAGGGACCCATGGGAACAATTGCAGTTGGATTTTATAGGACCCATGCCCCAATCCCAGGGTAAGAAATACTGTTTGGTCTCAATAGATAGATATACTTTGTGGGTGGAAGCATTCCCTTGTAGAGATTGTTCAGCAGGAACACTTGCAAGGATACTAGCAGAAGAAATCAGATTGAGATGGGGGTACCCCTGCAGATAGACTCTGATCCAGGGACACAATTTACAGGGAAAGTAATTAAACAAGTATGTACCCTGTTAGGCATTAAACAAAAATTCTATCTCCCATACCACCTAAAGCTCAGGAATAGTAGAGTGAATGAACTGGACACTTAAAGCTAGTCTGACTAAGGCCCAGATGGAGATGGGGCAAGGATGGGCTAAGGTACTCCCTGCCATCCTAATGAAACTGAGGTTGAACCCAGCATGGAGAACAGGGCTGACCCTCTTTTAAATAACAACCAAATGAGCTATGCAGTTGCCAGAGGATGTAGTAATAGGAGGGCTGGAGTTATGTACTGGCAACACAGGGTTACAGTTTGACAGGAAGCTGGCCAAGCAGCTGCATGGGCTGAGAGGAGAAGTTATAGACCAACAAAGAATCAGGGACTGGGAAAAGGAGCACAAAAATCTTTTAACAAATATCCCTAACCCAGGAGATCACGTAATGGTGAAAAATATCACCGGAGTGTGTCAGATTACAATTGCAATGGGTTGGACCAAATGAGATAATTATTACAGGTGATACATGTGTTTTGGTAGGTATTAAAAAGGGACCGAAGTCGAAGCACTGGTCCCAACTGATGTTATATAAAGCTTGAGCACGATTATTAACCCTTTGGGCAAGTTGTGTTGGATCCTTGCTTTTCACAGGCTAGTGGTAAACCACCGCTATCTACTCAGGGGCTGGACAATGGACACTGAGAGGAACAAAACGAGTTGAAGGGAAGTCTAGTTGCATGTATAATATTGAAATGGGAAAGTCAGATTGTAATTCGTGGATAGGGCATGAGACCAGGAGTAATGAAAACATGAAAAGTTGTATTATGATGATGTGAAACTAGAGTGGGTAATGCTGACTATGCCAGCCCTACCTGTCTGGCTGTGCGATCAATTAAAATAAGAAAAAACTGGTCAATTAATATGGACCCCAACAAATATTACGTGCAGTCAAATTACTTTGCCCAAATTAGGCAAAGGCCAGTGAAGTTTACGTGTGGAGAAAGGGAGAGACAATATGCTTCACGTGTCCTGAGTATTCTATGTCACCCACAAGTTATAAAGCATGTGTCATTACAGATTTAGTGTAGGTTTGAGCCTGAAAGCGAAAAGATTGAACTGATTTAAGTGGGCGCCTTTACCTAAGGGGCAAGACTCTCCAGAAGTGACATATGTTACCAACGTCACTATTACCAGCAAAAATGTAACCATGACCCCAGGGCCAGTGAATGTAACTATGAGTTCAGATCTGAGCAGGATCTCCGGAGTGGGTTAGCAATGGGAGATGCAGGAGAAAGTGTGACTCTTGTGCCAGGATATAAACATGTGCAGGTAGTTTGTGACCTCACTGTAGTACAAGTGCCCGAATGGTGTCTCACTACCACAAAATAATCATTTGCCCACCTCCTAGGTTTGCAGTTGATAGGAAGGGAATTTAGGTCAAAGAAAAGCCTCCAGAGGAAAAAGAAGGGATTAATAGAAATGGCAGGAGCCGGTTACACCTCTGGAATAGCAACAGTAAACACATTTGATTAAGCTACGATAGATGAGCAGCTTCAGAGTCTGCAGGAACGTGGGTAGAATCGTAGATATGGATGATAAAGGTGAGGTTAAACGAGTCAGTTAGGCAGACAGGCCTTTCAGGTTACATTTGATGCAATTGAATTTTTAAAGTCTCTGCAAAATATGGCCAATTCGCTCATTAATCAACTGGCTAATACATCTAAGGAAGAACATATACCTGAGAAATGGACTATGTATGCCAGCTGGCTGTTGACAATGATCAGTACTAATCTGCTGAAATTGGAAATGTACCAAGTCCCTGATGGGGTGACTGAAAAGCAATTGAGAGATTGGGTAGGAGAAAAGATGCCCCTGAGACACCTTGGGAGTTTAACTGTCACTAGCAGATTATTGGGTAGTGAGAATGCTGACAGGGACAGACATTCTAAATGGGTAGTGCTACATATCTCCAAACATGGGGACAATCACACATACACTCTTAAAAAATGTTTGCAACATTAGGAGATGCCATGAAGAGACACGGATATCAATAAAAGACCCTCCAGCTCATCTGATTATCATGAATACTACCAAAAAGGAAATTGACTTAACAAGGTGTCACCAAGGAAGGGATCACTGGTCATGTTCAGACAAAATGACCAAATTACAGATTGTGGTTTTGTGACATATGACAACTGTACACTATCTATTTTGCCAGTGAACAACCAGACCTACTTGCAATACGTTCTGAGGAAGGGTCACTGGGCCTGAAACCTCAACTCTATTTCTCTTCACAGGTGCTGCCAGGCCTGCTGAGCTTTTCCAGCAATTTCTGTTTCTGTTTCTGCTTCTGCTTCTTGCAATATGCCCTGGCCAGATCAATTTATTACCTAACCTCGGCAGCCAACTATTACCAAAGCGGTGTAACTTGAGTGGGTATAATGTTGTTATCAGCAACCCGACCCAGAGCATTACTATTAATGGACATATCTTGCCTAAGCTTGGGGTGGGGGGAATGAAAACAAAAATTGCTGATGACCATAACAGGTCAGGCAGCATCAATGGAGAAAGAGCAAGAAAACGTTTCAAGTCGAGATGATTCTTCATCAGAACTGAAGATGAAGAGTCATCTAGACTTGAAACATTAGCTTGGTCTCTCTGCCTGACCCACTGTGATCTCCAGCATTTTTGGTTTTCAGTACAGATTCTAGCATCTGCAATAATTTGCTACTAGAGACACGTGTTTTTGGGACAACTTATGGCCAGAGATGCCACAAGATGGTTGCTTGTGAATTTTTAGTTGGCATAAAGTTGGCGGAGAAGATTTTTACTTGAGGTAACGGAAATAATTTATTTAGTTCAGCATTAGAATGAAATCATAAGTCTGGACAATGGCAGTTTTGAGTAGAAGATAAACCCAAAGTAACAATTAGAACAAAGAATCTTACAAATTAAAATACAGGAAGCTCGGTACAAACTCACAGTGACAGATATCTGTAAGAGGCAGTCTGATAAGGGATGTTTGGGAACAATAGCCAAATGTAGTTTAGCAAGAATTAAAACAAAAGTATGATCCCAAAATAATGAAGAGACGTGGTTTAATTTCTTCAAACAAGGGGTTAGAGATAGTGGAGAGGGGACCGAATAACTAATGGGTAAACAGATGGCCTCTAAAGGGCACCAGCTTGAATTTGAGAAATGTTTGGCAGCTTCTCAACCTAAATATGTTAACCTAGATAATGATGGAGACAGCTCAAATGAACTCTTGCATCCAAGGATCAAGGGGGCGGGGGCTGGTGGAGAAGGAGAAGGACAGAGCTATTTTGTAAAACCCTGGGAATTCAGACAAGATTCTTGAGCTTGAAAAACGAGTGAGTTTCAGTCTTATTCATGAAATGTGAATAGATGTTGTCTTATTTGTACGCTATTTTGTTTAATATGCAGAGCAGGGACAGTGTCTCTAAGATGAAATGTAATCTCCTGTTTAAAGCACACTTACCGACTGCATTTGAATGGTGGCGATTATAATTGCAGCAATAAGATAGAGGGGTATTGTTTGTTTGACATTCCAAGGTCAGGTGAGATAGAAGCTGTTCACAACTCATTGGTTAAAGAATTCTAACATTGTGTGTAACCATATCACTTTATAGACAACAAGGTGCAGGGCTGGATGAACACAGCAGGCCAAGCAGCATCATAGGAGCAGAGAGGCTGACGTTTC